TTAGTGTCCCAAGCACTTGACAATTAAATGAGAAGGGCTGATGTTAGTGGAGTGCTTACTGTGCACCTCTCCCAGCAGCCCTCTCAGCTCATCTGTGTAACCTCCGGGGTGGGGTGGTGGTGGTGGAGGCGGTGGTGGGTGGGTGAGGTTACATGGGGGAGGGGGGTGAGGATCACTCTCCTCATTTTTCAGGATCAATCCCTACCCATGATATTAATGGAGTGCTTACTGTGCACCTCTTCCAGCAGCCCTCTCAGCTCACCTGTGTAACCTGGGGGGGGGGGGCGGCTGAGGGGAAGGATCAATGTCTTCATTTTCAAGATCAGTCCCTACCCATAACCCTTCTTTGAAGTTTTGACAAAGGGACTCTCCAGCCTTCCCCCTCACTCCACCCCAGGTGAGCCTTTCCAGAGGTGACCAATGTCATTTCATTTTAGTTCCTCAGCAATTTTATATGCTATGACAACTGCGTATCACCTTCCACATGGTAATCTTGTGCTGAAAATGTGGTTAGCAATCCCTACATATTTCTGAACGGTAAATAGATCGACAAGAAATCACCCCCCAAGATCTTTATCTTTTGGCATGTGAACATTCTTTAAAATGCTTATATCGATATAAAAGGGAAAGTGTACAACTTAAATCCTGGCAGAAAGCTTCAAGAGCTTTCAGCACCATTTACTACAGGTGGTTGGGAAAGTTTTTGGTAAAATTGGCCAAATTGGTGAATCAACTGTTCATTGACTTTTGGCAAACTGGCTTGGTGATAGTTAATTTTTGGCCGGGGGTGGAGGCTCACTCCTGTAATCCTAGCACTCTGGGAGGCTGAGGCAGGTGGGGATGGCTTGAGCTCGGGAGTTGGTGACCAGCCTGAGCAAGAGGGAGACACCATCTCTAAAAAATAGCCAGGCATTGGTGGTGGGCGCCTGTAGTTCCAGCTACTTGGGAGGCTGAGGAAAGAGTACCGCTTGAGCCCAAGAGTTTGACGTTGCTGCCACGGCACTCTTCCAGGGGGCAAAAAAGTGAGACTGTCTCAAAAAAAAAAAAAATAATAAAAAGGCTGATTTTTTTGAAGAATGACCTGGAATGACATAGATTCTTTTCCACTTGAGAGATACCTGTCGTTCCCCTTTGACAAGAGCAACAGAACCCTGGGATCAGGTGGGATCCCTACCCTGCAAATGCCACTTGGGACTCTGGAAAGTTCTGTAGGTGGGGTCTAGACTGGTGACTTCAGAACCCAGACAGAACCAGGGCCTCATGGGCTGAAGTTCTCTCTTCAACACCTCCAGCCCGAGGAGGATTTTGCCCACCTGGAGGTGCTGAAGGCGCTGGAGGTTGAGTTACCCGGGGCCATGGAGAGCGGGTATGTGAGCAGCATCCGCTTTGAGAACATGAACGTCATCTGTGGGACTGCAGGTCGCCGGGACAGGTGAGCCCGCGGCGCGGGCGGGGCCTGGAGTGACTGGGACCGGCAGGGTCAAGGGGGAGCGCGGCGAGGGGCGGGGCCGAGCGAAGGGGCTCCCGGAGAGGGGCGGGGCCAGGGCGACTGGGCGGGGCTAGGCAGTGATGAATGAGGCTAGGGTCCGGGACTGGGACGGCTATGTAAGAAAAAATTGGCTGTGAGGACGTTGAAGGGTTATGCGGTGGTGAATCTGCGGAGCCAAGAGTGATCTCGGTGAGGGACAGGGGTAAGATCAGAGAGAGGGCGGCATCTAGTGTGAATGGGTACCCGGACTTTGAGTGACCCACGTAGTGACGGGGATAGACAATGCTGGGGGGGAGGGGGTTGAACCTAGAAAGGCAACTCTGAGAGGGCAGAGTGGACTGAGCACATAGTAAGCGCAAGGGTGACCAGATGGGATAGGTCGCAAGGAGCCTAGGTAGGAGTGTGGCCACGTGAGTGTGGGCCCAAGCGCGGCGATTTGAGATGGAGCCTCGACGGACGGTGATTAGGAGGCAGAACCAGACTAAGAGGACGGAGCCTAGAATGACTCAGGTGAGGGCCCAGGGCTCGGGTTGACCTCGGAGAGAGGGTCTGGCTGGAGGAGTTTAGGGGCTGTTGGACTGGAGGTAAAGAACAAGGACCAGGTCGGAACTCTTTGACATTCAGTAGTTCCCCTTCGGTCTCCGCCCCGTCCTTTTGCAGGTGGCTCATCATGGTCGCGGATTTCCAGACTCGCTCCCGTCTGCTGCGCTCAGGTCTCAGTCCCCGCGGGCTTCCGCACCAGCTGGTGCGCCACGACGAATTGTTGCTGGGCGATTACCGCCTTCATCTGCGCCGCTCCCTGGTCCGGCGGCGCATGCTCGAGGCCCTGGGGGCGGAGCCAACCCAAGAGGCCTAATCCGTGGGGGGCGGGCCCCGGCTGCGCTTGCGCACTGCCCAGCAGGTTCGGGCATCCACCCAGAGCTCGGGAGAGAAGGGGGCGTTGCCTCCCCAGGAAGGAGGCGGGGCCGGCTCGAGGGGGTGGATACTGTGAGTTTAATTATAAAGAATGACCTGGTACAAAAGCCATTTCTCTCTGCAAAATCTTGGTGGGGAGTCAGGGGGAGGGAGGTGATGGGGGGTAGGAATGAACCCCCATATTGTAATCCCGTCTCCCTGATCTTCCTTCAGTCCCTGCAAGTGGACGCCTGTGTCCCAGTTCCTTGAAGAATGAACTGAGACCCACGAAAGGGAAGACCTGGGCACCAAGGCTTTCAACGCTTTGGGAGCCCTGTCTCGAGGAGAACCAGACATACTCATCCGCCCCCCCTCCTCTTCCCCCTCCCACCCCCCTTGGAAGACAATTCTCGAGCTTTTATTTCAGGTTTTTTTTCTGGGTTTTTTTGTGTGTTCTAGGGGTTTTGGTTTTTTGTTTTTGTATTTTCTTCTTTTGTTATTGTTTCTTTTTGCTTTGTCTCTCCTCTCCAACCCACGCCGCCCCCCAATCTGGTCCCTTCCCACTCCCCACCCCAACCTCTCCTCCCCCTCCCCACCCCCTACACCCTCCCCAACCCCGCGGCACCCATCCAGAATGAACAAGCCCTTGATAGACGGGCACCGCGCAGGCCCCCTGCGGACTGGGGGCATCCGACAAGGGGGAGGGGGCGGGTAGGGGTCCAGCGCGACCTCTGTCCCTTTTCTCACTATCCCTCCCCCCTCCCACGACCCTCCCACGAGGTTCCCCGCAGATCCCTGACATGGTGAGGGGAGGGGCCTCACCCCCTCCCCTCATGGACGGAGCGCCCCTCCCCCTCTGGGGTAGGGGCAGCAGAGGGGGACTGGGCTTGGGGGAAGGAAGGGGAGCTCCCTTCTTTGGCAGCTGAACATGGGGGGACCTGAGGGCAATGCCCTTCCCCCTTTACCCACAGCAGGGGAGGGGGCTTTCTAGAGGGAGGGGTGGTTTAAAATACCCAAGCCCCAGGAATAAGGGGAGAAGGGAAGCGTGCAGGAAGGAACAGCCATGCCAGAGGGAGAAGGAGTTTCTTAGACAGAAGGAAAGGTCGGGGAGGGGGCCTTCGTGCAAAGGGGATGGACAGGTGGCCCAGGAAGGACAAGGAAGAGAGAGGAAGGAGGATGAGGGCCAGAGGCAGGGAGAGGAGGAAGTGTGGAAGCATGGTGAGCAGGAATTGAGTGTGCATAGGGTCTTCTCTCACCAGGAAGAGAAAAAGAGCATAAGGAGGTAAAAAGAGTAGGTAAAGAGTGAGAAGAGCTGCAAGAGCTGCTCCTTGGCAGGAGCAAAAGATAAGTGTGTCAGAAAAAGAAACCAGTTACAGCTGAAGAGCATGTGGAAGATGAGTGTGCAAAAGCAAAGAGGTGGTAAGTTCTCATCCAGCTAGAAAAGACAAGAAGGCATGTGCAGCAAAGTCACGGTGTGTAAGGACATTATTGGGGGGAGAAAAAGGCTTCCAGGGAGCACTTGACAGTGCTGGGGAGGGTGTATGTGCAAAAGCAAGTGTGCAAGAGAGGGCTCATGAAATCAAGACTAGAGATAGGCAAAGATCTGAACGAGAAGGGTGCAGGGGAGTGGGAGGCTGGCAAAGAAGGGAGGAATGAGTATTTGTGAGAAAAACACAGTTCCTAGAAGGCAAATGTGCAAAAGTGTGACAAAAAGTGACAGTGCAAGAGAGGAAGCTGGGGGTAGGAATGTCATTTTGAGAAGGAGAAGTGGATAGAGTAAGAATTTAGGGCTCAAGAATAAGAAGAAATAGTGCTTTAACTTAAGAACTTGGAGGTAAGAGTGTGCCAGGAGGGGTGTACAAAATAGTGTGCAAGGGTTGAACAAAGAGAAAGGGTACTCCGGAGAATAAATACATATGCAGGGTTGGTGAATGGCAGGGGGAAAAGGTGTCCCAAGTGTGTCTGCAGCAAGGGTTCAGAGTGAGCGGAGAGGGAGGAGTCTGGAGATTTTATGGCATGAAGTGTGTAAGGGATGATCACAGGGGAAACATGTAAGCAAGAGAGCAGGAGACCTGAAGCATGACAAAAGAAATGCAGCATGTGCAATGAGAACAGAGGGTGTTTGAGGGCTGAGAGGGACTCAAAAGCTGGAAGCAAAGGCAGAATGTGCAAGACAGAGAGAGGGCAAATTTGTGCAAAATTGCAGCCTGGGGAGAGGAAAGGTGAAGAGAGAGGCGAGCAGGCGTGCAACAGAGCAAGCGTGCAAGAGGCTGAAGGGCAGCTGTGTGTGCTAGGAGAAGGGAAGTGGGGAGAGCTGAGGGGCCTGGAGAAGGGAGGAAGGATTGTTAGAGGGGCAGCAGGTGGTGGAATCTGAGGGCACCCCCTTCCCCAGTGGCCTGGGGGATGGATCACATCTAATTAGGCTCAGGGCTGACCCTCTATGGCTCTGTCTGTCCCCTCCCCCCAGAATGGGCCCTTCCCTCCTTCTCAACCCCCCTCTGTAATTTCTTCTATTCACCCCTTCTGCTCCCCACTTCATACACACAGTCTCTTGTCAGCTGCCCCCTCCTGTGAGGTGCAAATGTCCAGCCTGGATCAGGTCACCTGGTGACCTCCAGCCTTGGGAGATAAGGACAGGGCGCAGTTTGAGCAGAGTCCCTGGCCCTGGGAGAGAAGACAGTCAGGGGTCAGAGGTCAGGAGGCCAGCAGGCTCAAGGGTTCTATGGACGGGCTGGTCCGTCCAGGCCAGCCATCACCTCTCCAGGAAAAATTTGAGAGCTCGGTCAATGTTCATGCGGTGGCCCACCCTGGTCACACCCAGATCCACATAGTCCTCCTTGGTCAAGGCGGGCAGGTGGGAGCCATCAATCTCGTGGTCCAGGAACTGGGCTCGGTGCTCGGCCAAACCCAGCCACTCAAGCCAATCAGCCACATCAAACTTGGTCCAGAACCCCAGAGGTTTCGCGCCAAAAGGCTTGTCCGGGGGCAGCGAAAGCAGGCGGGTTGGTGAGAGGGAGCGAGAGGCCCCTGACAAGGCTCCTCCAAGTCCCCCAGACATCCCTGGGTGTGGTGGCACAAAGACAGGGGCAAATGGGTCAGCCGAGCCTCCTGCTCCTCCAGTGGGGGAGCTGCGGATGTCAAAGAGGCCTGGATAGAGGGGTCCAGAAGGCAGGATGGGCAGGGATGAGGGCCTGGGTGCAGGGCTGACCTTGTGCTCCGAGGTTGGCAGCAGCGAGGGGCTGGGGGCCCGGCGGAGCAGAGGGGGCCGCATCTCGAACTCTACACCCTGGAGATGGCGGGCAGATGTGGAGGAGGAGGAGGCTGAGGGTGAGGTGGCCCCTGGGGCTGCAGCGGCTGAAGGGGTGACCCCAGTTCCAGTGGGGAGCGGTGGCAGAGGTGGTTTGGACCAGTTCTGAAACAGGCTGCTGACAGGTTTGGAGAGGAGGGAGGACTGGGAGTCTTCAGAGAGTCTGGAATGTGACAAGGGGGCAGGGGTGGCGGAGAGGGGTTTAGGGGGTGAGGGCAGGGTGAGAAAGGGGCAAAGGCCAAGATATAGGGAGAGAGGAAGAGAGACATAGGGTCGGGGTAGAGATGGAGAAGAGATGGAAGGAGCAAGGGGTAAGAAGGATGTCAGGACAGAAATGAAGGGAGAGAAAGATGAGAGGATAGGGAGAGGGTGACAATCAAGAGAAATGAAAGAAAAAGAGACATTAAGTGATAATAGTAATTGCCACCACTTATTGATGCTCACGTGTGCCAGGCATTGTTCTAAGTGCTTTGCATATTGCATCTCAGTTTTATCCCCATGACAGCCCTGATGCAGGTTACTATTATTATCAGCACAGAGAGGTTAAGTAACTTGCCTAAGGACACACAGCCAGGAAGTGGCAGAGCCTAGTTATATGGCACCAAAGTCTGAGCTCTTAACCACTATTCTATACTGCCTTTCAGGTTATGGCCAGTCATAGCAAAGTGAAAGACGGGCAGACGGTGCAAGAGAAACAAAAAGAGGATGAGTATCCAGGGAGAGAGATGGTAGGGAACAGGGGACAGAGAGAGAGAGAAAGAGAGAGATGGAGGTGAAAGAGAGAAGAAATAAGGGGAGAAAAAGGTTCCCCTCATCCCTTTAGCTCCCTCCAGCATGGTCATACCTCAGGGCATTTGAACTGGCTGTTACCTCTGCCTCCCTCCATCTTTCCCCAGGTAGCCTGTGATTTTGCTCCCTCCCCTCCACCATTCTCTGCTCACCTGCCAGTCATTTAAGAGACCTTCTCTAACCATCCCGTATTTTTTTTAGGGTGATTGCAATTACAATAGAACCTCCATAACTGACCACCTCCTTAAATTGACCTAATTTTCATAGACCAAACAAGTACCACACGTACATATCAGTACAGTAAGCCTCATTCCTTATGCTGACCACCTCCTTATGTTGGCTAGTTTGGTACAGTCTCTTGGGTGGTCAACTTACAGGGGTTCTACTGTATTTTGCAACCCCTGCCTCAGTAACTATAAACTTTGTTGGAGGAGTGCTTTGCCTGCCTTTTCGACTGTGGGGTCCCAAAACTTAGATGGGCACCCAGCATACAAGTGATAAATCAATAACTAATGCATTTGTTGACTAAGCATCCTTTCTTCTACGCAGAATACTTAAGAATAGTCAATGAATTGCATTAAGATCTGAAAGGCCTAATAAGCCCACATTTGAATGTTAACCATAAGGATAGCAGACTCTCAGATAGAATTAGAGTGAACCCTGCAGATGTAGGAGCAGATTTAAAAATCTTTCCCTACTTCTGTGTGTCTGAATCAAGAATGTTACCTCTCCCTAACACTAGGTCTTGAAAGGGCCTGAACTTTGCGGCAATCCCAGCTAACTAGCTGCTCTGGGAAACTTCTGCATCATCTCTTATTTCCCTATCTTGGCATGCCTGGGCTCTTGTAAGAGGCCTCGCTCCTTCGCCATGGGTCTCATGCCATAACAATGGCCCACATTAAATCCTATCAGAATCCTTTTGTGACAATTTTTTTTTTTTTTTTAAGACAGAGTCTCACTATGTCGCCCTCAGTAAAGTGCTATGGCATAACAGCTCACAGCAACCTCAAACTCTTGGGCTTAAGCGATTCTCTTGCCTCAACCTCCCAAGTAGCTGGGACTACAGGTGCCCACCACAATGCCCAGCTATTTTTTTGTTGTCATTGTTGTTTAGCAGGTCTGGGCCTGGTTCAAACCAACCAACCCCAGTGCATGTGGCAGCTCAGAACCCTTTTGGACTGATACTATGCTGTTCCCTTTCTACAGAAAGGTGGATTCTTTTGCCTAAGATCACATAGCTAGAAAGTACAAGGCTGGGACTAGAAGCCAAGAGGTGGGTTCCAGAGCCATACCTGGAGCCACTGTGCCCTAAAGCATTATGTCTTGAGGCTACACTGGGTTTAAGGCATTCACAGATTTCAGGGACTGTCAGAAAGAACTGACAACCCAGCAAAGAAACACATCAGCAAGACTTGATCTAGTCTCTTCTGTTAATAACCTTGTCCATCACAGGCTATGGGTTGTGATGGTGATGGAAGGAGACCACAGGAGCTACTGAGATAAAGGGAAGTGAAGGTGTCTGTGAAAGCATGAGGGCAAACTTCTGCAAGCCAGCCTGGTTTTCTTTTCTTTCTGCCACCCTGAGACCTTAAAGGAACACAGCTATGGGGAAGGTGGACTCTAGTAACCACCAACCACATCAGGCCCTCAGGCCCTCTGGCCTCCCTTGCCAGCTTCCAGCCCCTGCTCACCTCTGCCGCTGCAGGGAGGAGGTCCTCTCAGGGACATAGCTGGGTCCCCCATGGTGGCTGTCCCCGCTTCCCCCACTGCCTCCTCGGGCCCAGGGCAGAGGACCACCGGCTGCCGAGGAGCCCCCGAACTGCTGAAGCTTGGAGCTTAGTTCACTGATGATGCTGGCTTTTACTGTGGCCAAGGCTGAGGCCTGAGGCTGGGCCAGGGGCCCGGGCAGGGGTGGTGGCGGGGGACCCGGGCCCTCTTCCCAGGGCAGCAACTTCCGAGGCAGGGAGGAGGCCGTGGGCAAGGGCACTGGTGGGACTTCTGGCTCTACAGCCACTGGACCCCCAGATACTCCTGCTGTCGAGGGTCCTGTACAAGCACTCAGGGCCAGTAGCCCATCAGTTCCAGCCCCTGTCACTGAGACAGTGGGGCTGGTGGGGGTGACAGGGTCTCGGAGTCCCCCACTGGGGCCAGGCCGCAGGCCTCCGCTGGCTCCCAGAGCTCGGCCCCGGAGCTTAGAGGGAGTCATGAGCTGTGGTGGGTATGGTGGGCCAGGAGTACCACTCCCCCCAAAGGCCTGGCCATCCAGGTAGGCCACATAGGTGTCCAGAAGCTCTGGCCCACTTGCCACACCAGCCCCACCACTACCACCGACCCCTGCACTGCCACCACCTTCAGCAGACAGGCTGCTTAGCGTGGATGCGCTGCTGATGGTCTCCAGGGGGTGGTCGCTGCTGCTCCGACTATCCACCTCCTCAATGCCAGAGTCTGTGCCAGGCGGAGGGTCTGGGCCAGGCTGTGGGGCAGGAGGAGGCGGCAGCGGTGCTGCGGGGGCTGGCGGGCCTGGCGGAGGAGGGTCTCCAGGAGCGGCAGGGGCCCCTTGTGTCAGCGTGGCCACCTCACTGTCATAAGATGTCAGGCTGGATGCGGTTGAGTCCAGGGTAGGAGGAGCGGTGGCCACAGCTGGAGGTGGCGCAGGGGGTAGAGGGGTGGCCGCAGTGGGGGGGTCGGGCAGCGGGTGGGGAGGCCCAGGCGTGAGTGGCGACTCAGGCTTTTCGAAGCTGTTGGAGAACTCCAAAGGAGGCGGCAGCGGTTCCACAAAGAGGAATTCGCCATCTTCCACGTCCACCGAGGGGGCGGGAGGCGGCAGGACTAGCAGGGGAAGCCCATTCTCTTCGCTGCCCCTTGGGGAGGTCGGGGAGGGGGGCACAGACCGCCGCGGGCTGGGCGGCGGGACACCCGGCCCGTCCTCGGATGGGGGCCCCCTGCCGGTTGCTGCCGGGGCTCGGGGCTGGCAGTTCTCGAGAAACCGCACGTGTAAGGGCAGCCTCTCCGGCTCTTCAGGGGCTCCGGACCTCCAGGCCTTGCTCACTCCGGGGTGCGGGGCCGGGGGCTCCGACCCCAGCTGCAGCAGGAGGGGCCCAACCCCGGGAGCTGTCGGGGGCAAGCGGTGCAGCAAGGAGCGGCGGGCAGCTGGTGGGCTGGCCGGCAGAGACTTCTCCTGGCTGCTTAACCCTGCCCGGTACCCCAGCTCACGGCGGGCGGGGTCCGGCGGGGAGGCCCCCCAGAGACGCAGCACTGGCTCATGGTGGGCGTGGGGCGAGTGGTGGTGCGGGGTGGGCGGCGGGACCTCGTAGCGGGGCGATGGGGGCCTTGGAGGGGGCTGGGGTGCCCCACCGCCCTCCGAGGACTCCTTCAGCGCCCGCTCTCGGGCGGCCAGGGCCAGCCCCAGCGGGGAGGCTGGATCCAGGGCCTTGCCGGTCAGCGGGTGTACCAGGGGTCGCGGGGGCAGAAAGCTGGTGAAGGCGCTGCTGCCCCCGCTGCCCCCGTAGGCTCGGCTGCCCGCTCCATAACCGCCGTAGCCCGCGCCACTGCCCGCGCCCGCAGACTCCAGCCGGAGATAGGGCTCGGCGGAGAACATGCCCTCATCGATGGATTTGGAGTGGCGTAGCCGGGGCCCCGGGGCTGCCCCTACGCCCAGCCCACCGTCGCCTCCATCCTCGTCCCCTGCGTCAGTGGAGAGGAAGAGTGTGGACCGCCGGCGAGCTTCGTTCTGCCAGCCCCCTTCTCTCCTAGCCGCCCCTACCAGGGCTGCTCCAAACTGGCTGGTGAAATCGAGGGTGGCTGGCCCGCTGGGCGAGGCGGGGGTGGGCACGGGCGAGGGGGACGGTGGCACCGGGGACATGGCTGGGGCCGGGCTGGGCGAAGAGCCGCCGCCGCCGCCTGCGGTTTCAGGCTGGCTGGGGGGCTCCGCCTCGGTGCTGCTGCCCTGGCTGCTTCGGCCACTGCTACTGGTGGACGGAGCCTTGATGATGATGGTGGGGATAGGGATGGAGTTCTTCTCCGAGGGCGCGGCCGCGGTGGGCGGCGGCTGCGGGGAGGCTGGGGACGTGGGCGAGGGCGCGGGCGGGAGGCCACCGCCCTTCTGGGGCTCGCCTTCGACTTTGGTCTGCTTGACCAGCGGGCCCTTGCGGCCGCGGCCCGAGCGGGCTGGTACATACATGGCCGCACTGGCCGCCCGCGGGGGCAGCTGGAAGTAGCGCAGAGCCGGGGCCTGGGAGGAACCGCCGCCCGCGCCCCCGCTGCCATGATGCGATGGGGACGGGATTCCAGAGGTCGGGCTGGGCCCGCCACCCCGCCAACCTCTAAGGCTAGGTTGGGGCCCCAGAGCCAATCGGGGTGGGGGGTCATCGGGAGAGCCACCGGTCTCCATCTCTGGAGGATGAGGAGGGTGGGCGTGGTGGTGGTGGGGCTGAGGGGGCGGGGCGTGGTGGTGGTGGTGGTGGGGCGGGTGGTGGTGGGCAGGGGGCAGGGGACCACTGTGGTACAGGCTTTTCTCACGGCTCCCCACACGGGTGTCCCGGGTGTCTGGAGGGGCGGGCCCATCAAAAGATGAGGGGGAGGAGGCGGGGTGGGGGCCACCTGGGCTGGGGTTGAAGGGTCCTCCCCGAGGGGAGGGGGTGAGGCGGCCTGAGGAGGAGGGGGCTGGAGGTGTGCTGTAGGGTGGCTCTGGTGGGGATGTGGTAGGTGGTGGGGGTATGTCCTCGGAGCCGGGCACAGACAGGCTGCGGCTGAACTTCATGGCTGGGGGTGCTAGGTAGGGTCTGTCATCTTCTGCTGCCCCTAGAGAGACACAGAGCATTGGGAGGGGCTTGGGGAAAGGGTCTCCCTGCTCTCCCTATCCCACAGAACATATAGCAGTAACAACAATGATGATGATGATGATGGCACCCAGTGTATACTAAGAGCTTCACATAGATTAGCCCAGCACTTTCCCAGCGGCTTCATACAGTGAACAGGTTGTGCACTGCACAACTGCGAACAGCATAAAAAGGAAAATCGGCGAAATTCAGCTGAACTTCCTCCCCATGCCATAAGGAGGCGCCTTTTCGCCAATTTATGAAAAGGCTCAGCGAATGCTAGCTGTGGTTCAGGGTGAGAAAGAATGGCTCAGCTGGGTAGGGATGTCATATTTATGTGCATAGTTAAATGTTTCTACTCATGTTTGTGCAGGAAAGAATGGCAATGAGCAAGTCAAATCTGTGCTTTTACAGAGCTGTGCTTAGGATGCGGCTATTGTTAAAAGAGGGAGCTGATTTCTAGGAAAGATACTAGGTAAATGATGAGATGCAGGGAGACCTCACACATTCAAGGCTCACACTGGTGGACTGTGAACACAGGGAGCTGAGGAAAAGCTGGATCCAACTGGCAGAACAACTCCAGGTGGCTCGGGAGTTACCTTTGCCTACTTCTCAACTGTCAAGGCTCATATGTTTGACCCTCTTCTCCCCTCTGAATATTCTCTCAGCCAGTGTCCAGCTGCATTCAACAGCTCTGCTGTTAACTCCCACTTCTGGGGCCCCATCCTCTCCCCAACCCCCAAGCTCCAGATGCCCCACAAGCATCTCAGACTCCAAAGGCTCCAGACCAGGCATCCTCAAACTATGGCCCGCGGGCTACATGCAGCCTGCCTAGGACATTTATCTGGCCCGCCAGGTGTTTTTGCCGCTGCTGCCTGTTCTGCTTAGCAGCCGACTTGTCCTGGGGCCCACAGTCCGGCCCTCCAATGGTCTGAGGGACAGTGAACTGGCCCCCTGTTTAAAAAGTTTGAGGACCCTTGCTCCAGACCAAGCTCCTGATCTCCCCAGCTGACTCCTCCAGCTCACTGCAGCCAACAGCAGTTCCATCCTTCAAGCTGCTTGGACCGAAAACCTTAACCTTAGGGTGCACCTTGGTGGCTTTCTTTGTCACATCACTCATATCCAGTTCACCTGTTACTTCAAAACATATCCAGAATCTAACATCTTCTCACCCCCTCCAGAGTCATCACCCTGGGCCAGCCAATATCATTTCCAACTGGACAGCAATAGCTGTCACCTCCTCTCTGGTCTCCCTCCCACTCCCAATCTAGTCCCCAGATGGCAACCAGAGGATTCTGTTAAAGTTAGCTCATGTCCTTCCTCTGCTCAGAGCCCTCCTGTGGCTCCCACCTCACTCAGAATAGAAGTTCAAGTCTTTGACATAGCCCATGAGAACCTGTCTCCTCTCTGCCCTCATGCCTGGTGCTCATTCAGCTTGGGCCACAAACCTCCCCATTCAGTAAGCACACTATGCTCACTCTGACTTCAGGACCTTTTTACAGGCTGTCCCTGCTGCTGGGAATGCCTTACCTCCCCCATCTCCAGATATTCTCATGACTCCTACTTAATCCCCAAGTTTTAGCTCAAACTTGCCTGCCCCCAGCACTCTTGATCTCTTACTCTCTTCTCCCCATAGTGTTTATCCCTGTTAATATACTATATGATTTTCTTGCTTATCATCCTTAGCATCTGTTGTCTGTCTTTATGTGCTAGGAGCTAAGCTCTAAGAGGACAGGACCCTTTAGTCTGTTTTATCCACTGACATATCCCCAGAAACCTAGAACAATTCCTCGCACATGGGCAGTGTTCAACAAACCTTTGTAGAATGAATGAATGGATGGAAAATCAGGTATAAGAGAGAAAAAAAAAACCAGGGTGGCCCAGGCAGGGGCAATAATGTCCTCATTTTCTAGATGCAGAGCCCACCCAGAGAAGTGAAGCCACCTGTCCCAGGTCACACACCCAGTTGGGGGAAGAAAAGGAGCCAGAATTCATACTTGTATTTGCCCAGCTCGAAAACCTAAATTCTTTCTTTTCTTTTCTTTTTTTTTTTTTTTTTGAGACAGTCTCACTTTGTCCACTGGGTAGAGTGCTGTGCTGTCACAGCTCACAGCAACCTCAGACTCCTGGGCTCAAGTGATTCTCTTGCCTCAGCCTCCAGAGTAGCTGGGACTACAGGCACCTGCCACAGCACTGGGTTATTTTTAGGGAGGGGGGTCTCATGAACTCATGAGCTCAGGTGATCCACCTGTCTTAGCCTCCCAGAGTGCTGGGATAACAGGCATGAGCCACCACCTGGCCCTGAAAGCCTGAACTCTTTATGGAAGTATGGTCACACATGGAAGTAGAAAATAACATTTCTAAACCTCCTTGCTTCCCCCATAAACGGTCATCCTCCCAGCCTTCCCTAACCCCCAGATCCCTCATACCTACCCTTCTGGTGGTGACATACCAATAGATTTTTGCCGGAGCATAAGCCCAGGTCCAGGAGGCAGGAAAGAAGGACGCTCATAACTTGGCTGGGAGCGATGGTGGGGATCAAAGCTCGACTTTGGGGCAGCGGTCAGTGGGGGAGGGAGAGAAAAGATAGCAGAGAAAGATCAGTCAGGCCTGAAGTCTTGTGGCTTCACCATTTCCTCGACAAGCCCCTGTAGGAAGGGAGAGCTGTGTGAAGGAGGCAGAAGGGATTCTGGGGGAGGGGATGGAGAAAAGGAGAAAGCAGACTATCCTCCACCTGCCTGCTTGACTTCCCATGGGATCACTCATCTGGGGACTTCCTTCTCCTGCCACTGCCCACATCTGAGTACCCACCACTGCTCACCTGGATGGCTGCAGTAGCTTCTTCCGTTTCCCTGCTGCCACCCTTGTCACTCCATCCCTTTCTGATGTTTTCCACATAAGAGCCAAAAAGAAATTCAGGGTGTGCTACTGCCCTGCTTAAAATCCTATAGTAACATCCCACATCCGAAGGGGATCCGGATTCCCAAACTCAATCTACAATCCTCCTCATGGGAGACTGGGGGACACTGCTGGTGCCCCTCCAGGTCCCTTCCTCTGGGATGCTGCACCTATTCCCTGCTGCTGTGAGTGACACCTGCCTGTTGCTCTAGAGAGTCACCATCTTTTAAAGGTGCAGACTTGCCCAGACCTTTACTGTCCCCACCTCCTGGAGCAGCCCAGAGCCCAAGACAGACTGACTCCGAGGCACAGAGCCATGGAGACACAAGACAGGGCTAGCCCCTGTGTGGTTCACACTCCAGGGCTCTCCGTGGGATCAGGTTGGGGCAGACACCAGCAGGGACCATGTCTGCTGACCTTCTTCCCCACTTCCCAGAGGTTTGCCCTTAGCAACCCCTTAGCATCTCAGGCTCCCACTCTGGGAAGCCTGCACTAAACCACTCTTATGATCTCCCCCCGGGCTCCATCTTCCACTTGCTCCCTACGTTCTCTTCAATCCCACCTCCTCCTACCCTCCCATCAGCACTATTAGCATTCTCAAGTCCTGGTTCTTCTTTTTGCAATGGTTTTTCTTTTTTGGCTCCTTTTCATCTCTAAGTTTTGCATTCAGATGTCCCCTCCTTAACCTTCCCTGCCTGTCCTGTCACTGCCTGCCACACTTCCCTGTCCTGTTTTCTTCCACAGCATCTATCTGGGTCTGAAACTTGATTGTGGTCTGTATCAGCCACTAGGTCAGAAGTTGCCCCAAGGCAGGGCCGACTTACCCCAGGCCCTGAGCTACAGTGCCTAGAGCTCACCATACTTTTAGAGGAAATGTTTTCTTTTCATAGTAAAAGGGGGAGGGGGGGGACGACAGAATATAATCCAGCCTGGGTAACATTCATCTTTGCACTAACAAAATTATAAAATATAAACATGTCTTTGTACCAAGAAAATTATAAAGTATAAACTTTAATTTTTTTTTTTTTTTTTTTGAGGAAAGGCAAAAGTGGCAAAGGCTCACAGAAGTTCATAATGAAATCTGCCCGTGGGTGGCAATTTTCTCTTTCTTATTTCCTGCTGATTCTCCCGTCCCCAAACAGGGCCTGCCCTTCCACAATCTCATGTCGAAAGAATAAGTGAACGAAAATCCGCCAACGTCAATCACTGCTAAGCCCTGAACACCTACCTCTGCCGGGAGACCCTATTTGTCTCTCTTCTCTATCTTTGAGATTAGAAATCCAGAGAAAGGAAACGAAGTGAGGTCCTGACCTTTGGGATGGGCTCCTCTGCCTTCTCTTCCTCTTCCCCTTCTGCCGCCCCCCTCCAGCTATTCAGACCATTTGCAGTTCTCTGAATTTCTTGTGCCAGTTTCTCACCTCTGAGCCTCAGTATGTGCTGATCTCTCTGCTTAGAACACCCTCTCCCCATGCTGTGCTCTGCTTGGGAACATTCCTTGTCACCCTAGCTACCCACCCTTCCCTGACCATTTCCTTCCTTTAGGCCTTCTTTGACCCATACAGTGGCCACTAGCCATTCAGATGCAAATTTCAACTCATTCAAATTAATTTAAAAATGCCATTCCTCCATTGCACTGGCCACATTTGAAGTGTTCAATAGTCACCTGCGACTGGTGACTATTGTACTGGACAGCACAGATGTGGAATATTTCCATCACCACAGCAAGCTCTAGTGGATGGTGCTAATCTAGACCTTTTCACCGCACTCAGCTCCCTGGATTGGGACTATTTCTACATGTATCTCATTCATTCATTCCACAAATATTTATTGAGTACCTCCTCTGTGCTAAGGATGTTTTAACTGCTGCAGATGCAACAAATCAGACAAACACTCCAGTGCATAGGAAGGGCAGGCATGGGTCAAATGAAGGTAATGGATGGGAAAGAGGGGCAGTATAATTTAAAATGAGGTAGACAAGGAAGGCCTCAATGAGAAGGTATCATTTGAGCAAAATTCTGAAGGTGAAAAAGGGAGCCATACAAATATATACAGGGGAAGAATGTTCTAGGCAGTGGGAACAGTAAGTGCAAAGGCTCTGGGGTGAGAGGGAGCTTGGCATGCTCAAGGAATTGTAAGGAGGCAAATGTGTCTATAGCAGGGGAGCCAGGAGCTGAGGGATGGGAAATGACATCAGATAGAGAGATTATAGAAAGGTGGGATTGGCTCGGCGCCTGTGGCTCAAGCGGCT